CTGCCAGGGAGGCATTACCCCCTCCTCCTGCACTGCAATCAGGGCTCTGGGCCAGCCGGGCCCCCCGGCTCAGCCCTGCCCCTCGCACACCCAGCATGACACAGCCCACGGCCAGCTCGCGGGCGCTCCGTCCTGCGCCCCAGCCCCCCGTCTTCCAGCACACGCTCGCGCTGCCGTGACCCAGCACCCATGCATGGGGCGCTCTGCCCTGCACCTGGGCAGCAGACGCAGGTACTGCAGAGCCCCTGGGCTGGGCCCTGTGCCAGGCAGTAGCAGCAGCACAGCCTTGCTGGGACTCACCCCAGCCGGCTCCCCCGGGGCAGGAGCCAGGCCACGCACCAGCTGCCACCACGGTGGGAGAGGGGAGCACCCTGAGGCCCACGGCTCTGCAGCAAGCACCCCGTGCGCAGGGCTGCGGGCGCTTCCCAGGGCAGGGGCCAGGGCCAGGCCTCCGTGACCACTGCACACCCACCCTGCAGCCAGCACGCAGCAGACGAGGGCTGGAGGAGCTGCCTCCAGCTGGGACAGGGGCAGCTGGTGGGGAAGACTGCCCCCACCCCATCCCCATCCCCGCACCTGCAGCCCTAGGGGTTGCAGCCTTGCCCCACACGGGCCCCAGCTGGGCGGCACTGGCAGAGGCAAGGTGACCGGGGGGCAGGAAGAAGAGAACGTTAATCTTTATTAAATACGACTAGTAAAAGCAGTTCCCAGGCCCTGCGCAGGATGCAAGGGCTGCACTGAGGCTGTGCCATGGGCGAGGGGCAGCAGCAGCTGCCAGCAAGCGAAAGCACTGGGCAGGGCCCTCCGGCCACCATCGTTCCACCACGACTCCATCATGCCTCGAGCCTGCACCCTTCAGCCACAGAGCCTGGAACCAGCACAGGCATCAGACACGGGGAGCCACGGAAGGAGCCCCCCCGCGTGCCTGGGCCATAGGAGGGGCACCACCCCCCACCCTGGGACAGGGGCAGGAGGCCGCACAGCACAACACAACATCGTGACCTCCCCCCGCACGGGGGCTCAGCACCTGCAGGGATAGGCACAAGGAGGGTGTGAAACCCCAGTGCCACTGCCTGCCCCAGGCGCCACGTAGCTTGGCCCGGGCAGGCCCATGTCTGTCTGTGTAGGCGGGCAGGCACGGCCAGGGCAGGCGGCGTGCCCGGGGCAGGGTCTGTGGGTCGGGAGGGGCTCAGAGGGGAGGCCTTGGGGAATGCCTGGCCACAGCAACGGGCAGCGCAATGGGTCTGGCTCTGCCCAGGCCCTGGCTGAGCCAGACTCAAGCCCAGCCTGGGCCCTCAGAGGCTCTGGAGGAGGTGGGAGTGCAGCCCTGGAGCACCCAGGACAGGCTCCCCGCCCCACCAGAGCCACCTACCTGCTGCTCCCAGCTGAGCTTGGAGGTCAGCAATGACCCTACGATAGGCCTGGCACTGGGCATCCTTCTCCACTGTGGAAGGAGTGGGAGGTCAGCCCCTGCCCAGGTGCCGGTTCGCAGCTCATCCCGCAGCGCCAGCGACAGCAACGTACCTAGCTCAGTCCTGGCTCCTTCTAGCTCCCTCTGGACCCTCTGCAGCTCGCTCCGTGCCAGCTCCAGTTCATTCTGCACTTGCTCCAGCTCTCGGTGTAGCAGGTTGCCTGGGGACTGACAGGGGGGTGCCGAGACCCCGGCAGGCTGGGGGCTCGCCAGGGGCTCACACGGGGCTGCACGTGGGCCACAGCCCTGCTGAGACAGGCCCAGGCAGCCTCGCAGCCACCGGCCACTGCAGGCTGGGTCCTGGGGCCCCAGCACCTCCCACCACGAGCCTGGAGGCGCCGCCATTACCTGCATGGGGGCAGCTGCACCCACGCCCCGAGGAGCCGCATCGGGAGAGCGGCGGAGCAGAGCCATGGGACCCCTGCACGTGGGGCCCTGGGCAGCATCACCTAGGAAGAGATACGCAGTGTGGGGCTGAGGGCCCCGGGCTGGGGCTGCCCTACACCCCCTGCTCCAGCCACCCCCCCAGGCGCTGCTCCCACCTCCCCTGCATATGGGCACCTAGGGGAGGGCTCCCGGGTCCAGGCCTCACATGGGTCATGGCTGCACACGCATGTTGGACAGGCCTGTACAGGTGCTGCCCCCTGCTGGGGAGTGGCCGCCTCTGCACCAACTCCCCCCCCCCCGCAGGGCTGGACCCAGAGCCAGGGAGCCCCAGGCCCGCCGGAGCAGGGAGCAGCGACCCTGCACTCACCCGCGCTGGAAGAGGCCTCTCCTGCCCCGGGCCCAGGGCTGCCATCCGCAAGCGCAGGCTCCTGCTGGGCCCCGCGGCCTTGTGCCCCTGTGCCCACACGAGCATCTAAGAAGAGAAAGTGAAGGGCGTCGGGGGGCACCAGGCACAGACAGACTGGGAAGGGGGCTCCAGGCAGCCCCAGACTGTGCAGCCCAGGACCTGGCTGCTCCCCGACACCCCAGGAGGCTGGGACCCAGGCCTGGCTCCCCAGCTGCAGCGCCTCCCCACCCCAACCCCAGGCTCCCACTGGCCCTGCCTGGAGCAGGAGCAACTGGTGCCAGGAAGCCCCCACGGACGCAGAGATGGGGAGCAGAGCTCTGCCACCCACCTTCGCCCAGCCGGACTCGCTTGCAAGGAGGCAGGCTCCTGGGGGAGGCGCTGGCTTTGGCAGGCGGCCGCAGTCGGGAGCGCGGTGCCACAGCTGTGGCCAGCGCAGGCCCGGCAACAGCCCTCCGCGGAGGCAGCCTGCTCTGGGCAGCCTTGGCAGCAGCTGAGAAAACAGGAGCAAGCACTGGGCCGGGGAAGACCCAGCTGGCCAGGGGGGCACATGCCTGCCTGGCGCCCCAGCTGGGGCCAAGCACCCCCCAGACACACCTTGCACGTGGCTGGCAGAGTACGTGGTGTTGATTCCCGGAGCTCTGTCCTGGGGGCTGGATGTGGCACCCAGAGGCTGGGGGGCTCCAGCGGGGAGTGGCGGGTTGCCAGTGCCTGGCTTCACGAGCTGCCGCTTGCTACCTGGGGGAGGAGACGAGAAGTTCACAGCCCCGAAGGCAGCGGCTGCCTGAGCCAACAGGCCTTGGGCACAGCCGGCTCACCTGGGCGAGGCGGGAGTCCAGTCCCAGGAGCCCCAGCCCCTTTGCTGGATCCAGGTAGCTCCATCCCCACGGGAGCCTGCAAGCCCCCAGGACCAGCTCTGCTACCACCTGGCCCCGGGAGCCTGGACGGGGGCCGCAGGCCCGTGGAACACTTCCCAAAGCCGAGCAGCCTGGCACTGCTCTGCTTCGCCGCGGTGCCGGCCGGGACCTGCAGCTGGAGATGAAGCGACTGGGTCAGAACCTGCTGCGGGACCTGGGCTCCTGCTCCAGGCTGTGACCAGAATTTCAGGGATGCTCAGTGCCCCCAAGCCCATGCCCCATCTCTGCCAAGGAAAGCTGGCAGCTGCCCAGCGTCCTGGGCAAGGGGTGCATGCTGCAGCCGCTGGCCGCACTCACCTGCGCAGGAGGCTGGGCCTCGGTCTGCGATCCCAGAGGCACGTCCCTGGTGACAACCGGCCGCTGCAGCGAGAGCCGGAGGCTGCTCAGGGACACACGGCTCAGCTGCCCTGCCAAGGCACAGCCTCTTCCCACAAGGGCCCTGCGGGAGCTGCAGGATGCAGGGGCCAGGCCCTGCAGCGCTGTTGGGATGCTGCAAGCCGCCACCCTCGGCCTGGCTGGAGCCCTGCCCTTGGTGGTGTCGCTGCTGCCAGCAGGCTCCTTCCCCCTGGGGAGAATGGGCCTGGGGGAGGCAGGAGATGCAGGCAGGTGCTCAGGCCCTGCTGTGCTGTGGGTGCCGTTGGCTGGGCCACATTGCACTGGGTTACCCAGGACGGCGGTGGTGGAGCTGCGCGGGTCCCTGGGCTCCAGGTCATCCCCGAGCACGCTGCCCTGGGCTGCATCCAGGACGGCGGTGGTGGAGCTGCGCGGGTCCCCGG